CGAATGATTATCGATATATGTGATAAGATAAAGGGGTGCATTTTTATATGAGGATTCGCGATTTTCGGCGCGATCACGTCGTGAAGTTACAATAATAAGCCCATTAGCTTCGCCATGTGCCTGCCAGTGTGTCTGTCGGCATGTAACAACTAGAAACCGAATAAAATTTGAAACTGGGGAGCTTTATTAAGGCTACATATTTCCGTTTTCGTTTTGATAGAACAACAGTGATTGACACCTCTAAGCGTTTGTGCGGTTTCACGAAATGAAAATCTAAGACAAATAAAGAAGTGAGGTATCAGAACTGTTATATTATATGTACGTTTCCTAACGTATTATTTTCCTTGCAAGGGCCATGGAGTGTTAAAGGTGGGAACTGCCAAACCATGTTGTCCGTGTGCGAAGTGGACTAGCATGGCACAACAATACGAACCTTTTCATTAGTCCTACATGTATTGCAGGTAAAGTTGTCCCTGTGCTTGCCTAATTAAGTACTACGCCATGAAGGCGCATGGGGGAGTCTATGTATCCACATTTTCTTGACCTCGGCACTAGCTGGAGGTGAGTGGTCAGGCTCACGCCCCTGCAGCTTTACCCGGGGGAAAGGGTCCCCGGTACCCATTGAATAGGATGTTGGGTAGAACCAAGAACCGGTCTTCATGAACACGAAGAAGAGAAAATTCTTGTCCACATGTATTACAGTGAATTTTATATAAACAATTTTAGATTCTCCCACCAAATTTGTTATTTTGGGCCATAATAATCCTATATCCCTTCACTTGATGATGAATACAGTATCTGAGATAGGAAACCATTTTACGTAACTCAAGTGACAGCTTCATATTAACAGTGTAGTAGAAATTATATTTGTTCAGCTGACATATATTTTTTTAAAGAATTTAACCGTAACCGCAAAAAAAAAGGACATTATTTCTGCACTTTTGAGATACAAAATTACAGAGTTCTCTACACTGTTATCATCGAAGTACACAGGTACAAGAACAACACAGTACCAGAAAACAATTATCTCCAGTAAAAGTTGCGCCATAGTGAGAAAGGAATTGAAGGCCGGATGGAAATCCCCTGTTCAGAAAAGTCAGTATAATCTTCATACTTACCGTATTTACGCATGTATAGGCCGCAGCACAATTTTCAAACATAAATTATAGAAAAAATAATTTTCTTGGAATATTATTACCCTGTATTACTAATTATGAATATAATTTTTTTAAATGAAGTGTGATTTCGAATATTTCGAATATAAGCCGCACCCCAGTTTTCCTCTTGAATTTTTGGCAAAAAAATTGCGGCCTATACATGCGTAAATATTTTATTTCTCACACGCTCCATGGTGATCAAAACTGTATTTTATAAAGAATAAAATTTATCAAGAATAATGAGTAAATGGAAGTAAGTATATTTCCAGTATAGATCCTCAGAAATTCTATTTTGAATCCAAGAAGATTATGAAAGAAAAAAAACAACATCAAATAAAGATGACACAAATAACAAGTTTTTTTATCAAACAGATGCGGTCTCATTCGGTCTTGCAGAGCAGTAGAATGTTCTATGAACTGCGATAGCAGACAAATGTATGCAGCATGGAATAAATGAATAATACTCTTTCAAGATTTTCCTACTTCAAACCATTGAGGCGCTTCATTTAACATAATTATTTGCTTTCGGGATCCCTCCGTTAGTATAGCTACTGGCTACGGGCTGGACGACTAAGGAGTTCGAGTCCCAGTAAGGTCAAGAATTTCCTCTTCTTCACGTCGTCAAGACCGGCACTGGGGCTCAATCAGCTTCCTATCCAGTGAGGACAGGGGGCTCTTTCCCGGGCGGTAAAGCGATCCGGGCGTGAAGCTGACCACTCACCTACAACTAGCACCAATGTCAAGAAAGTATGGATCTATACATCCACTCCCCCATACGTCTTAATGGCGTAGTGCTTAATTAGTTAAGCACAAGGACAACTTTACCTTTAACCTGCCGGCGTGAAGCATGAGTAAGAAATATTTTAGAATGTGCCGATACAAATATACGCCAGGAGAATGATTTTATAAAAATCAGACTCTAGAGGTTTGCTACGCCGTCTCTACATTGCATACGATCTCTGAGTCATACTAATTCCATGTCTACTCATATAAGTTAATTATTCAGTGTCGTGCTAAAACAATTGAAAAGTTACAAGGA